GGCTGTCGACGCACACCGTAGCCTTGGTGCGGGGAGCAGGAACAGGCCGGGCAGGGCTGTCGACGCACACCGTAGCCTTGGTGCGTAGAGCAGGAACAGGCCGGGCAGGGCTGTCGACGCACACCGTAGCCTTGGTGCGGGGAGCAGGAACAGGCCGGGCAGGGTTGTCGACGCACACCGTAGTCTTGGTGCGTAGAGCAGGAACAGGTCGGGCTGGGCTGGAGACGCGCACCGTCCATTTGGTGTGAGGGGCCGTAACAGGCCGGACCGTACTGGGGACACACACCACTGGCTCTACTCCGGGAACTGGAACGGGCCGGACCGGACTGGTAACACACCCCAGTACCTCTCGCCGTGCCTCTACACCTCCTTTCCCTACTTTGACCAGTAGCCCCCGTAACCTGGTGGCCCTTTGAATCCGCCCCTTCTCTGCCTCCGTTAGCCCCATCGTCCATGCCCTGTGCCCCCCCCTAAAAATTTCTTGGGGGTGCCTCTCGTCCCGCCGACGCTGCTCCCACGTCCAGGCTGCCTGTTCCTGGACACGCTGCTTGGTCGTAGTATGGTGGGTTTTTCTGTCACGATCGTCTTCAAAAGGAGCAGACCAATACGCAGCGTGTTGAGCGAACATGATGACTTTATTATACTACAGTGCCAAAACAATAAACGATACATGAAGTCCACAGTTACAAAGACCGTAAAGGAACAAAAACCCACAACCCCAAGGTGAAAACACACAGTATAAATATGGCTCCCAATCAGAGATAACGAGCCGACAGCTGACACTCGTTACCTCCGATTGGGAGTCATTGACCAAACATAGAAATCGACAACCTAGACACCCAACATAGAACATGAACACATTGAATGCACACACCCTGGCTCAACATAATGAGTCCCAGAGCCAGGGTGTGACAATTTCAGCTTTAATTTCTTTCATCACATTCCCAGTTGGTCAGAAGTTTACATACACTCAATTAGTATTTGGTAGCATTGCCTTTAAATTGTTTAACTTGGGTCAAACGTTTCGGGTAGCCTTCCACAAGCTTCCCACAATAAGTTGGGTGAATTTTGGCCCATTCCTCCTGACAGAGCGGGTGTAACTGAGTCAGGTTTGTAGGCCTCCTTGCTCGCACATGCTTTTTCAGTTCTGCCCACAAATGTTCTATAGGATTGAGGTCAGGGCTTTGTGATGGCCACTCCAATACCTTGACTTTGTTGTCCTTAAGCCATTTTGCCACAACTTTGGAAGTATGCTTGTGGTCATTGTCCATTTGGAAGACCCATTTGCGACCAAGCTTTAACTTCCTGACTGTCTTGAGATGTTGCTTCAATATATCCACATAATTTTCCTTCCTCATGATGCCATCTATTTTGTTAAGTGCACCAGTCCCTCCTGCAGCAAAGTACCCCCACAGCATGATGCTGCCACTCCCGTGCTTCACGGTTGGGATGGTGTTCTTTGGCTTGCAAGCATCCCCCTTTTTCCTCCAAACATAACGATGGTAATTATGGCCAAACAGTTCTATTTTTGTTTCATCAGACCAGAGGACATTTCTCCAAAAAGTATGATCTTTGTCCCAATGTGCAGTTGCAAACCGTAGTCTGTCTTTTTTATGGCAGTTTTGGAGCAGTGGCTCCTTCCTTGCTGAGCGGCCTTTCAGATTATGTACCTGTTTCCTCCAGCATCTTCACAAGGTCCTTTGCTGTTGTTCTGGGATTGATTTGCACTTTTCGCACCAAAGTACATTCATCTCTAGGAGACAGAACGCATCTCCTTCCTGAGCGGATGACGGCTGCGTGGTCCCATGGTGTTTATACTTGCGTACTATTGTTTGTACAGATGAACGTGGTACCTTCAGGCGTTTGGAAATTGATTTTCCCATGATGTCAAGCAAAGAGGCACTGAGTTTGAAGGTAGGCCTTGAAATACATCCACAGGTACACCTCCAATTGACTCAAATTTGTCAATTAGCCTATCAGAAGCTTCTAAAGCCATGACATCATCTTCTGGAATTTTCCAAGCTGTTTAAAGGCACAGTCAACATAGTGTATGTAAACTTCTGACCCACTGGAATTGTGATACAGTGAATTATAAGTGAAATAATCTGTCTGTAAACAATTGTTGGAAAAATGACTTGTGTCATGCCCAAAGTAGATGTCCTAACCGACTTGCCAAAACTATAGTTTGTTAACAAGACATTTATGGAGTGGTTGAAAAACAAGTTTTAATGACTCCAACCTAAGTGTATGTAAACTTCCGACTTCAACTGTACGTGTCGTTTTTGGTGTGTTCTAATAGAACTGTGTCCAAATATAATTTATATTTGTCATCCTGATTTCCTGACCTTTTTTGGAATATCATTATATTCGTTTTTTTTTATTAACGGTCAGAGCCCAGGTCTGACAGAACCTGTGCAGATGATCTAGATGCTGCTGTAACCCCTCCTTTTGTTTTTAGTGTACATTGATTTAATAACATCATATGTTTTCCATCCAATACCACTTTCTATTAGTTTATCAAAAATACATTCGTGCCAAATTGAATCAAATGCTTTCTTGAAGTCTACAAAACACAAGTAGATTTTGTCTTTGTTTTGGTTTACTTGTTTGTCAATTAGAGTGTGGAGGGTGTAAATGTGGTCTGTTGTACGATAATTAAAAAAAAATCCAATCTGGCTTTTGCTTAGGACAATGTGTTCATCAAGGAAATGATGTAGTCTGCTATTTATGATACTGCAGAGAATTTTCCCCAAGTTGATGTTAACACAAATTCCTCTGTAATTATTTTGGTCAAATTTGTCTCCATTTTTATAGATTGGTGTGATCAATCCTTGGTTCCAAACATCGGGGACAATACCTGCAGTTAGGATAATGTTGAAGAGTTTGAGTATAGCCAATTTGAATTTGTGGTCTGTATATTTGATAATTTCATTTAAAATACCATCAGCACCACAGGCCTTTTTGGGTTGGAGAGTGCAAAGTTTTTCCAATAATTCTTGTTCTGTAATTGGGGTATGCACAGGATTCTGATAGTCTTTGACTGCTGATTCAAAGATTTGTAATTTAACTTGTATATCTTGTTGTTCTGGGCTCTTTGTTATATTGCTGTAGAGGTTTGCTAAGTGATTTCTCCACATATCCCCATTTTGGATAGCCAATTCCTCATGATGAGGTTTGTTTAATTTATTCAAATTCTCCCAGAAGTGGTTTGATTCTATGGATTCCTCAATTACATCCAGCTGATTTCTAATGTGCTGTTCCTTTTTTGTTCTTAGGGTGTGTTTGTATTGCTTCAGTGTTTCCCCATATTGAAGACGTATATTTTTGTTGTCTGGGTCTCTGTGTTTATGATTAGATATATTTCTCAATGACTTTCTTCATTATCAAACCATTTTTCATTATCTATTATTTTTGGTTTGCTCTTATATTTCGTTAGATTAGCCAAGGAGGCTAATTTGTCAAATATAAAGTTTATGTTCCAAACGGCCAGATTTACACCTTCATTGCTGTAGGAGAATGTTAAGGCTAAAAGGTTGTCCAGGAGAGATTGTATTTTTTGGCTACTAATTGCTTTTTGGTAGATTTCTGTACTGTTTGCACTCCATCTATAGGTCTGTTTAGTACCATGTAATATATTGGGCTGTGATGCTTCATGGTTGGGTTCTGCTATTCTCAGATACACTGTGATTTTACTGTGGTCTGAGAGAGGTGTTAGTAGGCTGACTGTGAAGGCTCTGAGAGACTCTGGGTTGAGGTCGGTGATGAAGTAGTCTACAGTACTGCTGCAAAGGGATGTGCTGTAGGTGTACCTACCAAAAGAGTCCCCTCTTAGCCTACCATTGACTATGTACAGACCCAGTGTTCGACAGAGCTTCAGGAGCTGTACATTTTTGTTTTTCACTTTGTCATAGTTGTTTCTGGGCGGGTATGTGGGGAGGGAAAGGTAGCTTAGTGGGTAAGAGCGTTGTGCCAGTAACCGAAAGGTCGCTGGTTCTAATCCCCGAGCCGACTAGGTGAAAAATCTGTCGATGTGCCCTTGAGCAAGGCACTTAACCCTAATTGCTTCTGTAAGTCGCTCTGGATAAGAGCGTCTGCTAAATGACTAAAAATGTAAAAAATGTAAAAATGGAAAGGTTGTTGCTTCCTCGTAGGTGTTTTTCCCCATGACTGTTAATAGTGTCTAGTTCTTCTGCTGTTCTAGCATTCAGGTCTCCACAGACCAGTACGTTGCCTTGGGCCTGAAAGTGACTAATCTCCCCCTCTAGAATGGAGAAACTATCTTAATTGAAGTAGGGTAACTCTGAGGGGGGAATGAATGTGGCACAGAGGAAGACATTTTTATCTGTTAAGATAGCCTCCTTGTTGATTTTTAACCAGATAAAGAATTCTCCTGTTTTGATCAATTCGATTGAATTAGTTAGTTCAGATTTATACCATATTAGCATTCCCCCTGAGTCTCTGCCCTGTGTGATTCCTTTTAATTTGGTGGATGGTGCGATTATTTCCCTATAACCTAGTGGACAGCCAGTGGTAAAACATCACCTCTGCACCATGTTGCCTGGTAGTACTACAATATCAACATCATTTATTTCTTTAAGGGAAATCGGGGTTTTTTTCTTTTGCCCCAAAAAAGGGGGACTTTAACCCGTAAAATTTCCCAAAAATTAACGTAAAATCTTATTTGCCAAAAAAGTGATTTGTTTTTATAATTTAAAATAGCATTTGTTTTTCAGGGCCCCCGGGTGGGGTTTTAAAGGGGAGGATGGGGGAGTTATTGTGCCATCTTTCCATGACCCCGGCCTAAACGTGTTTAGAAAATAGACCCTCGGCCCATCAGTGTGAGCCTAGTAGACCCTCGGGGCCCATCACATGTAGCCCAAAATAGACCCCCCGGCTATCACGTTTTGAGCCCTAAATAGACCCCCGGCCCATCACAGTGAGCATAGTAGACCCCCGGCCCATCAATGTGAGCATTTGTAGACTGCATTTTAAATGTCCCCCTAAATTTTGTTTTGGGGGGGGCTGGGCCCGTTTTCCCTCAAGCCTGTGCGTAGCTCTGCCCCGCCGGGGGTGGGGTATCCAGGTGTGGGGTTCGGTGGGTGGGGGGGGGGGGGTGGTAGGGTGCGGGTGGTCTGAAGCGGGGGGTGGGGGGGGTCTGGCTGGTGGCTGTGGGGGGCATTGAGGTTGGTGGTTGGGTGGGCGGGGTGGGGGGCCAGGGTGTGGTCCGGGGTGTTGCTCGGGGATTTTCGGGGTGGTGGAGATAGCCCGTGGGTTTCCCGGGTGGGGGAGGTCGGGCTGGGTTTTTTTTTTAAAACGGGCTCCCTTTGGGGTCTTGGAAAAGGGTGGGGACTGGCTCCTGTAAAGGTTTAACATGGGCCCTAGAGCAGTCCAGGATGGGGTGGGGGTGGTGGGCCAGGTTTTACATTGGGGCGCAGGGCACAGTCCCGGGGGGGCTGGCGTTTATTCTTTTGGTTGGTTTAGGGTTGAAAAATCCTTTTCCTTTGTAGAAGGGTTGAACCACGATCCTTTGGGTTTGGGGGAAAATTGGGTTAATCATCCCCCCTTTGTGAAGTGCCACCCTTACTGTGAGCAAGCAGGTCTTTCTTCCGGTGGGTAGAAATTTTGTGGTTGGCGACCCCAAATGGGGTTTTTCAAAACAGCGCCAGGCCCCTCTGCGGTTTTTTGGGCACCACACGATTCAGCCAGTGGTTTTTTCTGGAATGGAAGGGGGGTAGAGTGGGGGTGGGAGTGTTTTGGGGCGGGGGGTTTTTTGGGGGGGTCTGTGTCGGTGCCCCCTTCAGTGGGAGGATGTTCTGAGGCTTTGGGGGAAGGGATTTGGGAGCCGGAAAAGGGGTGGGGGGGCCCAGGGGGTTTAGGTGGGGTCCTTGCTGTGTTTAGGGAAAGGGAAAAGATGGTTTATCTAGCTGCCCGAAACCGTCCTCTGTTCTCTTTTTTCCTGCAGCTCCCCTCTTGTGTGGTCAGCGCTTATTATTTCTCTGGGCCTTTCTTTTTGGAGCTCTCTCACCTTTTGTTAGATCAGCCAGCTTCTCTTAGTCCGTCTCCTCTTGCTGAAACTTCTTTCAGCTTTTGTTTCAAAAGGTGCTGTAGGTCTTGGCCCCCACCTTTTGGTTTGGAGGTCCTTTTAAGGTGTGGAGTCTGTTTTCTGTTTGTCACACTTCCCCCGAGCAGGACCCCCTCCCCCCCCAGTTTTTGGTGAAAATGATCCCTTTATGGAAAAAAACCATGGTGGTGAGGAGGGCCTGGGGCCCGATCTGCACGGGGGGCGCTCTCCCCTGGGGCGTGCCTTCCCCTTGGTGGGGGAAAAGAAGGGTGCTGGAGTGCCCCTTTTTTGGGGGGGGATAGTGGGGGTGGGGTGGGGTGGGGGTTTTTTTCTTGTGGGGGGGCAAAGTCACTGGTGGGTCCTTCTCTCTTCTGTCTCTCCTTAATGGCTGAAAGTTGTTTCAAAAAACCTAAGGGTTTTTTTGCCCCCCATGGCAGTCCCAGTTTGTAGAGGTTGATTGTTATCAGGTTTCTTTTCAGGGTAAACTGCTTTTGACTTTTAGTTCCCCCCCTTAAAGATTCCCTTTTTTACGGATGGGTAAGTGAGAGCGACTTTTCCCGAGCGCCCCCGCATTTGGGTGGTCAGTGAGAAAGATGAGATTTCCCCAAATCACCGTTTTTTAGAGGTTGCGAAAAAAGGGTTTTTGGCCTCCCCTTTTGTAGTTTTGGTTTTAAATTTTCCCTTTTGCATCTGGGGGGTAGAGAATGGGGCCCGTGGAGGGGGAGTGGGGGGGGCATGGTGCCCGGGCCTTTTGGAGGGTAGAGAAAGGACTCATTTCTGAGGGGGAGTGGGGGGGGGGGGGCATGGGGGCCCGTGGGCTTGCTACTTTCTCTGTGCTGCCCCTGTTCTGTGGCCCCTGTTGCCAAGCAAACCCGTTTTTTTTGTCTGCCCCGGGTTGTAGCTAGCTCCCAATTTAGCTCAAAAAAAAAAAGCAAAAAGAGTGAAAAATATTCACACACGAAAAAGAAAATATTTTGGTTTTTAAAATTAGAGTTCCCTTTCTTCTTTTTTATTTTCTCATCAGTTTGGTCGTTTGAGTAGTTGGGATTAACTCCCTTGCTAGGTTTGTTTAGCACAATTTTTCTGGCTGGCTTTTTTGCGCTGGCTCGATTTTTGGGGGTTTTTTGTTTTTTTAAACTAGCAGCGAGAGTCAAAACTTTTAATTTGAGGGGCAAAAAATTTTTTAAAAAAAAATTTTGATTTAATAGAGTTGTTTTTCATCACTTCTTTTCGAATTTTTTTAAAATTCGAGGTTTATCTATTCCCAAAAACAAAAAAAAAAAAGAAAAAATAAGGGGGCTCCAATTTAGAAAGACTCTCTCTCTTTTCTCTCTTCTCTCCCTCCGTTCCCTTTCTCTCCATCAGGTTGATTCCTTCCAGGAATTTTGGCCTTTGAGTCGGTGCTGGGTGCTCCCGTGTCTACATGGTCGCATTTTGCTGTTCGACAAAAACGGGCAAAGGAGCCGCCCCCTCGGGAATTTCCCTTCCCTTTGATTTTATTTACAGTCTATTTTCCAAAAACCCCGGTTTGATTTAGGCATATCAGGTGGGGCCCCCGAAGGACCCCAAAAAAAGGGGGAAATTTTAAACTAGGAGAAAAAAAAAAAATGCATTTACAAAAAATAAATCGCTCGGATAAGGGCCCTTGCCCAAATGATAAAATGTAAAAGGGAAATATTTAATATTTAAGTGAAGGAAGAAAAATTTAAAACCATTTTCAAATACACTATAGAATTTTATTTACGAAAGGACTTTTATTTGGGCATTTTGGATTTAAATTTTTTTTTTTGGGAAAAGGTTTTAAAAAAACAAACAGTTTTCCCTCTTTAAATGGGCCCCCAAAAAAATTGTCAAAATTTTAAAACCCTAGAATCAATGAAAAGTAACCTTAGGCCCCATGAAGGTGACAGTGTAAAACCCCCCATGGGGAGGGAAAAATTTGGGTTTTGGGGGGGGTGGAGGGGGAAAAAGACATGTCTGGGCTGTCCGGGGAGAGGGGGGGAGTGTGTTTTTGATTGGGACCCCTTTCCCCCGAAGGTCCCAAACCCAGAGGTGGGGAAAAGGGGGGACATTTGTAAGTGATTTACATTTTCCCAATTTATTTTAAAAAAACCCTAAATTTGCCCTTTTGTAGGTGTGGCCCCAAAAATTTGCACATTTGGGGCTGATTTTAAATGCGGCGACAAATCTTTTTGGGCCCCAAAAAGAGAGAAAAATAAATTTTATTTAATTGTTTTGGGAGTGGCAGGGGGAGGGAAGATCATTGTGGGTTTTATTATTTATGCACATATGTAAATGTTAAAATTTTTTTAAAAAAAAAGCCAATTAGGGCTATTTACTTTATGTGGTGGGATCTGGTTCGGTAATTTAAAAAGGGCTTTTGTTTTTCTGCCCTTTTAAAAGGGCATGAATAAGCCTACCCGAACGCTACCGGGTACGCTAGGAGACGCCCAAAAAAAGGGAAAAAGGGGAAAAAAACATGAAAAAAAATTTAAAATGCCAAAACACTGCGGGCATCACTCACATTCGGCCTTTATTTTACCCAAAACAAATAATTGTGAAAGAGATTATGGTCTTGGGCAAAGTTGCTTTTATGATCCATAATAATTTAAAAATTTTTCTTTCTTTGCTTTTTTATTAGATTAAATGGGGCCCTTTTCCTGTAACCAAAAATAAAAAAGGGCGCTCCTTTATAAAGTATAAAAAACGGGAAATTTCTGCGGCTTAGTGCATTTAAAAAAAAATTTGTTTTTTCCCCATAAAAAATGGGGTTTTCTTATTTATTTTTATTTCATTTTTTTACGGCTTTTTTTTTGTTTAAAACCTGTGTTTAAATTTTATTTAAATGATGCGGAAAAAAAAAAGTATTTTTCATGAAGGGGTGAAGCACTGTTAAATTTTAAGTGTTTTTTAAAAATTAAAAACCCCTAAATTTTGGGGGGGAATAGAAAAAAAAAACGGTTGGGCTGGGAAAAACAATTAAAAAGCGATTTTTTTTTTTACTTCAGCCAAAGAGATACAAAAAAAAAAAGAAAAAAAAAGGTTTCCCGAGTGTTGAAGGCCCTAAAGGTGATAAATAAACGGCCTTTGGAATGGGGAAAAGGCCAACCCGCAGTGTTAAAATGACCCGTAAAAGCAGTTTATTTTTTTTGCCCCCTTAAAGTGTAAAAACCCGCTTTAAGCTTTCCTTTTTCCGAAAGGGAGGGGCCCCCTCTGGTGGGGAAAAAAATTTACTTCCCTTTTTGTGGTTGCATCCCCAAAAGGCATAAAATATTTTCCCATAAGTGCACTATTATTAAAGGATGGGAAAAAGGGGGCAAATTTTTTTGCATCCCCCTCTCTATTTTCTTTAAATTTTAAATTTTTGGGAATTCCCCTCGGGTTTTAAATTTTTTTTTTGTGGCCCCACTGGGAATTGTTTTTAAACCCCAGTGAATTATAAGGGGGAAAAAAATTGTCTGTAAACAATTTTGGAAAAATGATTTTGTGTCACCCAAAGTAACCTAACCGATTTCCCAAAACAAGTTGTTAACCAAGACATTTATGGAGTGGTTGAAAAACGAGTTTTAATGACTCCAACCTAAGTGTATGTAAACTTCCGACTTCAACTGTACGTGTCGTTTTTGGTGTGTTCTAATAGAACTGTGTCCAAATATAATTTATATTTGTCATCTGATTCCTGACCTTTTTTGGAATATCATTATATTTCGTTTTTTTTTATTAACGGTCAGAGCCCAGGTCTGACAGAACCTGTGCAGATGATCTAGATGCTGCTGTAACCCCTCCTTTTGTTTTTAGTGTACATTGATTTAATAACATCATATGTTTTTCCATCCAATACCACTTTCTATTAGTTTTATCAAAAATACCTTAGTGCCAAATTGAATCAAATGCTTTCTTGAAGTCTACAAAACACAAGTAGATTTTGTCTTTGTTTTGGTTTACTTGTTTGTCAATTAGAGTGTGGAGGGTGTAAATGTGGTCTGTTGTACGATAATAAAAAAAAAATCCAATCTGGCTTTTGCTTAGGACAATGTGTTCATCAAGGAAATGATGTAGTCTGCTATTTATGATACTGCAGAGAATTTTCCCAAGTTGATGTTAACACAAATTCCTCTGTAATTATTTTGGTCAAATTTGTCTCCATTTTTATAGATTGGTGTGATCAATCCTTGGTTCCAAACATCGGGGACAATACCTGCAGTTAGGATAATGTTGAAGAGTTTGAGTATAGCCAATTTGAATTTGTGGTCTGTATATTGATAATTTCATTTAAAATACCATCAGCACCACAGGCCTTTTGGGTTGGAGAGTGCAAACGTTTTTCCAATAATTCTTGTTCTGTAATTGGGGTATGCACAGGATTCTGATAGTCTTTGACTGCTGATTCAAAGATTTGTAATTTAACTTGTATATCTTGTTGTTCTGGGCTCTTTGTTATATTGCTGGTAGAGGTTTGCAAAGTGATTTTCCAACATATCCCCATTTTGGATAGCCAATTCCTCATGATGAGGTTTGTTTTAATTTATTCCAATTCCTCCCAGAAGTGGTTTGATTCTATGGATTCCTCAATTACATCCAGCTGATTTCTAATGTGCTGTTCCTTTTTTGTTCTTAGGGTGGTGTTTGTATTGCTTCAGTGTTTCCCCATATTGAAGACGTATATTTTTTGTGTCTGGGTCTCTGTGTTTTTGATTAGATATATTTCTCAATGACTTTTCTTCATTATCAAAACCATTTTTTCATTATCTATTATTTTTGGTTTGCTCTTATATTTCGTTAGATTAGCCAAGGAGGCTAATTTGTCAAATATAAAGTTTATGTTCAAACGGCCAGATTTACACCTTCATTGCTGTAGGAGAATGTTAAGGCTAAAAGGTTTGTCCAGGAGAGATTGTATTTTTTGGCTACTAATTGCTTTTGGTAGATTTCGTACTGTTTGCACTCCATCTATAGGTCTGTTTAGTACCATGTAATATATTGGGCTGTGATGCTTCATGGTTGGGTTCTGCTATTCTCAGATACACTGTGATTTTACTGTGGTCTGAGAGAGGTGTTAGTGGGCAGACTGTGAAGGCTCTGAGAGACTCTGGGTTGATGTCGGTGATGAAGTAGGTCTACAGTACTGCTGCCAAGGGATGAGCTGTAGGTGTACCTACCAAAAGAGTCCCCTCTTAGCCTACCATTGACTATGTACAGACCCAGTGTTCGACAGAGCTTCAGGAGCTGTACTCTCCATTTTTGTTTTTCAACTTTGTCATAGTTGTTTCTGGGCGGGTATGTGGGGAGGGAAAGGTTGTTGCTTCCCGGTAGGTGTTTTTTCCCCATGACTGTTAATAGTGTCTAGTTCTTCTGCTGTTCTAGCATTCAGGTCTCCACAGACCAGTACGTTGCCTTGGGCCTGAAGGTGACTAATCTCCCCCTCTAGAATGGAGAAACTCTCTTCATTGAAGTAGGGTAACTCTGAGGGGGGAATGAATGTGGCACAGAGGAAGACATTTTTATCTGTTAAGATAGCCTCCTTGTTGATTTTTAACCAGATAAAGAATTCTCCTGTTTTGATCAATTCGATTGAATTAGTTAGTTCAGATTTATACCATATTAGCATTCCCCCTGAGTCTCTGCCCTGTGTGATTCCTTTTAATTTGGTGGATGGTGCGATTATTTCCCTATAACCTAGTGGACAGCCAGTGGAAACATCACCTCTGCACCATGTTTCCTGTAGTACTACAATATCAACATCGTTCATTTCTTTAAGGAAGTCTGGGTTTCTGCTCCTTAGCCCAAAAGCAGAGGACTTCAATCCTTGTAAATTCCAACAATTAACGTAAACTCTTATTATGCAAATGTGATTTGTTTATAATTTAAGATAGCATTTGTGTCATGCCACTTGGGTGGATTTAGTGTGAGGATGGGGGAGTTATTGTGCTCATCTTACCATGACCCTCGGCCTATCACGTGTGAGCATAATAGACCCTCGGCCTATCACGTGTGAGCATAGTAGACCCTCGGCCTATCACATGTGAGCAAAGTAGACCCTCGGCCTATCACGTGTGAGCATAGTAGACCCTCGGCCTATCACATGTGAGCATAGTAGACCCTCGGCCTATCACATGTGAGCATAGTAGACTCAGCATTTGTTAAGTGTCACTCATTTCGTTGGTGGGGGCTGGGCCAGTTGCTCCTCTCACAGCCTGTGCGTAGCTCTGCCTGCCGGGCTGTGGCTCCTCCAGGTGTGGGTCTGCGGTGGGGTGGAGGGGGGTGGTAGGCCTCGTCTGGGTGGGTCTGAAGCTGGGCTGGGGTGGTCTGTGCTGCGCTGGCTGTGGTGGGCATTGAGGTTGGTGGTGCTGTGGTCGTGGCTGGGGGGTCCAGGGTGCTGGTCCGGGGTGTTGTCTCGTGATCTCGGGGTGGTGGAGATAGCTCCGCTGTTCCTGGGTGGAGAGGTCGGGCTGCGGTTTAAAGCGACATCCTTGAGAGTCTTGGTAAGGATGGGGACTGTCTCCCTGTACAGGTGAACATGGTCATAGAGACAGTCCAGATCGAGGGGATGGTGGGCCAGGTGTACATTGGGTCGCAGGGCACAGTCCCGGGAGAGGCTGGCGTTTATTCTTTGGATTGTGTCAGGGTAGAAGTCCTTCCTCTGTAGAAGGGTTGACACCACGATCCTTGAGTTGGGGAAGATTGCTGAGGCCTTCTTAATCACTCCCCGTAGTGAAGTCGCCACCCTCTACTGCTGAGCACTCAGGTCGTTGCTTCCGGTGTGTATGATTATGTGGCTTGGCGACCCAAGCTGGGCTTTATCAAGCAGCGCCATGGCACTCTGCGTTGTTGGGCACCACACGATCTCAGCCAGTGTTTCTTCTGGACTGGAGGGGGTAGAGTGGGGGCTGGTGAGTGTTGGAGCTGGGGTGTGGCTGGTCTGTGTCGGTGCCGCTGTCAGTGGGAGGATGTTCTGTAGGCTGGGGGGAGGCATGCAGCCGGCAGGGCTGGGGAGGCCTAGCTGATTGAGGTGGGCTCCTCTGCTGTGTGAGGGCAGGTCATAGAGTGGTGATCTAGCTGCTCCTGCAGCCTGTCCTCTGTTCTCTTTCTCTCCTGCAGCTCCTCTCTTAGTGTGGTCAGCTGCTTATTACTGCTCTGCCTGTCTTTTTGGAGCTCTCTCACCTCCTTTGTTAGATCAGCCAGCTCTCTCTTGAGTCCGTCTCTCTCTTGCTGAACTTCTTTCAGCTGTGTTGCAAGGCTGCTGTCCTGCTCTGTCCGCACCTTGGTTAGGAGCTCCTATAAGGTGTGGATGTCTGTTTGCTGTTTGCTCACACTCTCCCTGAGCAGGACCACCTCCCCCTCCAGTTTGGTGAACTGATCCCTCATGGCAGCCATGGTGGTGAGGAGGGCCTGAGCCTGCTCTGCACTGAGGGGGTCGCTCTCCTCCTGGGGCGTGTCCCTCCACTATGGTGGGAAGAGAGGTGCTGGATGTGCCTTTTTGGGTGGGGATAGTGGGGGTGAGGGTGGTGCTGGTGGAGTTTGTCTGTGGGAGGGCATGTCACTGGTGGTGTCCTTCTCTCTCTCTGCTCTCTCCGTAATGGTCTGAAAGTCTGTTTCAAACAAGCCTAAGGTTACCTTGCACCATGACAGTCCCCAGTCTTGTAGAGGTTGATTGTTATCATGGTGCTGTCAGGGTCATCTGTCTCTTTGACTTTCAGCTTCCACCCATTACAGATTCCCTCTTTCTTTACGGATGGGTAGTGAGAGCAGACTGCTGAGCGCCATGCATTTGGCTGGTCAGTGAGAAAGATGAGATTACTCACATCACCGTTTTGTAGAGGTCTGCGAAAAGGGTTTCTGGCCTCCCCTTTAGTAGTTTTTTGTTTAAAAGCTTTCCTCGTTGTTGTCATTTTTTGCCTCTGGAGGGTAGATAAATGGACTCACGCGTGAGGGGGAGTGGGGACATGGTGCCTGTGGGCTCTGGGGGGGGTAGAGAATGGACTCAGTGCTGAGGGGGGAGTGGAGACATGGTGCCTGTGGCCTCTTGGAGGGTGTAGAGAATGGACTCAGTTGCTGAGGGGGAGTGGGGACATGGTGCCTGTGGGCTCTGGGGGGTAGAGAATGGACTCAGTGCTGAGGGGGAGTGGGGACATGGTGCCTGTGGGCTCTGGAGGGTAGAGAATGGACTCAGTGGCTGAGGGGGGAGTGGGGACATGGTGCCTGTGGGCTCTGGAGGGTAGAGAATGGACTCAGCGCTGAGGGGGAGTGGGGACATGGTGCCTGTGGGCTCTGGAGGGTAGAGAATGGACTCAGTGCTGAGGGGGAGTGGGGACATGGTGCCTGTGGGCTCTGCTACTACTGCTGCTGCTGCTCTGTTCTGCTGCACTGTTGCCACAGCAAACCAGTTTTGTTTGTCTGCCGCTGTTGCTAGCTAGCTCTAATTTAGCAAAAAGAGTGAAAAATATTCACACACGAAAACAGAAGATATGTTTAAAGTTAGAGTCCGTGCTTCTTTTTGATTTACTCACTCAGTTTGGTCGTTTGATGTAGTTGTATTAACTCCCCTTGCTAGGTTTGTTCTAGCACAATTTTTCTGGCTGGCTTTTTAGCCTGCTGGCTCGATTTTTGTGGTGTAGCTAGCTAGCGAGAGTCAAAACTTCTTAATTTGAGGCGCAAAGTTATTTTTAAAAATATTATGATTGAATAGAGTTGTTGTTCATCACTTCTTGTCTTGAATTCTTTTTAGATTCGAGTGTTTATCTCATTCTAAAAACAAAAAAACATAAATAAATCAGGAGCTCACATTGAGCATGACTCTCTCTCTCTCTCTCTCTCTCTCCCTCTCCGTCTCCCTTTCTCTCCATCAGGTTGATCTCCTTCCAGGAATTTGTGGCCTTTGAGTCGGTGCTGTGTGCTCCAGATGCTCTCTACATGGTCGCCTTCCTGCTGTTCGACAAGACGGGCAAAGGAGCAGCCACCTACGGTACATACCCTTCCCTCTCTGATTTGATTGACAGCTCTATTTCCAAACCCCAGGTTTGATTTATGGCATATGCAGGTGACCGCTGAAGTACAAAACAATGTGGACACTTATAGCTAGGAGAAAAAAAATGTATGCATTTACTAACTGTAAGTCGCTCTGGATAAGAGCGTCTGCTAAATGACTAAAATGTAAATGTAAATATTAATATTGAAGTGAAGGAAGAATTCTTAAAGCCATTCTCAAGTACACTATAAGATATTTTATTTACTGAAAGTACATTTCATTGGACATTTTGTATTAATTTTTTATTTTGGAAGAGGTAAAAAGACATCAGTTTTACTCTCTTTAAATGACCCCCCCAAAAAATATTGTCACATATAACCATCAGAATCAATGACAGTAACCTTAGGCCCTATGAAGGTGGCAGTGTAAGCACCCCTATGGAGATGACAGATATTGGTTTTGGAGGGGTGGAGGGGGAGAAGACATGTCTGTCTGTCGGAGAGGAGGGGAGTGTGTTTGTGATTGGCACCATTACCCAGAAGGCTCCAAGCCCAGAGGTGAGAAGAGGAGACATTTGTACGTGATTCACATTTCCCTAATTGATTTAAACAACCCTAATTTTGCCTTCTGTAGGTGTGCCACATTAGCACATTAGGACTGATTTGAAATGCGGCGCACATATCTTGGGCACAAACAGAGAGAAAGTAAATTATATTCTAATTGTTGGTAGTCGGCAGGGAGTAAGATCATTGTGGTTGATTATGTATGCACATATGTAAATGTTCATATTTAAAAGGAGCAATTAGACTATTTATCAGTGATGTGGTGTATCTGGTTCGGTAATTAAAAGGTCTGTTGTTTTTCTGCCTTCTGAAAGGTTCATGAATATAGCCTACCCGAACGCTACCGTGGCTACGCTAGGAGACGCAACAAGAAGTGGAAAATTGCATGAAAAACATTACACATGCCCATACACTGCTGTCTATCACTCACATTCGGCTATCATTTCACCGAAAGCAAATAACTTGTGACTGAGATTATGGTCTTGTCAAAGTTGCTTTATTATGATCCATTACATAATTTAACATTTTCTCTTTCTTTGCTTTTTCATTAGATTAAATGGCCTTCTCCATGTCAACCAAAATAACAAGTCGCTCCTTTATAACGTATTAAAAGCATGAATTGCTGCGGCTTAGCTGCATTAAAAACAGTTTGTTTTTCCACATCATAAATGGGGTTTTCTTATTTATTTTCATTACATTTTTGTACGGTCTTTTCTTTTTGTTAATAACCTGTGTAATTCCTATTAAGTGATCGCGGAAAAACAGATATTTTTACATGAAGGGATGAATGCACTGTTAATTTTAAGTGTTTTATAAAAAATAAATCCATAATTTGGTGGAATAGAGTTAATAAAACGGTGACATGAAACGCACATTAAAACGCGATTGTACTTCAGCCAAAGAGATACAAAAAAAAAAAGAAGAAAAGGTTGCCTGAGTGTTGACAGGTCCATAAAGGCTGATAATATAAACGGCAGGTCTGGAATGGGGAATGGCACTGCAGTGTTACACTGCCCAGTAAATGCAGTATTTTTATTGCCTCATTAAAGTGTAAAACCTGCTCAAGCTGTCTTGTTCCGAAAGGTATGGCCTGGTCTGGCTGGGGCAAAAATCTCACTCCCATTTCTGTGGTCTGCATCCCAAATGGCATAACTATTTCCTATATAGTGCACTACTATATATGTATGGAATAGGGGGCAATTTGGTACGCATCCCCTCTCTCATTTCTCTTTAAGTTATTAATTCCCCTCTTAGTTACACTGATACATACTAGCAGGTTTGTAACATGTTTTTTGTTTTGTGGCGTAATAAGAAACAGGTTCTGGTGTTCAATGTCTCCCACCTACTTTACCACTACTGGCTGAGACTTGCAGAATTAGAAAAGTGTGTAATCACATAGCTTTGCATATTTTATAGCTACAGTAGGCCTACATTACTGTCTAATGGTTCCATCAGATGTCAATCCATTGTTATTGTTCAGACCTATGGCTTCAGGAACCTGGAACTTCCATCATTATTAACACATACATTTCTAATATGAAATCTATACAAAAAAACTGGTCAATGATGATCAATCATAACACATTTCTTCCTTACATAATACACAACATTGTCCCCCATGTCTGCAAGTAACCGAGGCTTGTGAAGCAATGCTACTGCTAACCAGCCATCTACAGTAGTCTGTTTGTCAACAGTGTCAGAATGAAAAGGGGACTGATTTCATTAAAGGTGCTTGTCTTGTTTGGTCTCTCCTCAGAGGACGTAAAGCAGGTCTTCAGCCAGACCACCAACCATCAGCACATCCCCTTTAACTGGGACTCTGAGTTCATGCGGCTGCACTTTGGCATGGAGAGGACCAAGCACCTCAGCTATGGAGAGTTCACCCAGTTCCTCCTGGTGGGTTGAAATTCTCTATATCACCTTGCACTCACATAGAGTGACTGTCTCTCTCTCTCTCTCTCTCTCTCTCTCTCTCTCTCTCTCTCTCTCTCTCTCTCTCTCTCTCTTCTCCTCTCTCTCTCTCCTCTCTCCTCCTCCCCTTCTCCTCTCTCTCTCTCTCTCTCTCTCTCTCTCTCTTCTCTCTTCTCTCTCTCATCTCTTCTCTCTCTCTCCTCTCTTCTCGTCGTCTCTCTGTCGCTTCTGCTCTGATCTTCGTCTCTCGGTCTGTTTTCATCCTCTCTCGTCTGTCCCTGTCTGTCTCTCTTGTTCTGTCACTCTGTCTGTCTGCTCTGCTCTGCTCCTCTGTTCTGCTCTCGTCTGTCTCTCTGTCTGTCTGTCTGTCTGTCTCGACCCTGTCTGTCTGCTTCTGTCTGACTCTGTCTGTTCTGTCTGTCTGTCTGACTCTGTTGTCTGTCTGTCTGTCTGTCTGTCTGACTCTGTCTGTCTCTGTCTGTCTGTCTGTCTGTCTGTCTGTCTGACTCTCTGTCTGCCTGTCTGTCTGTCTGT